GAGTTGAGCACTTGCTGGTACCAGCACTTACCGGCTTCAGGCAGCGCATCCAAGCACTCTGCTGCTCGACCACATGCCACTCGTCGTCGGCCACATAACCCAGATACTCTGCTAAGCCTTGGCCCGACCGAGGGGCAGTGTAGTTTGAGCCGTCAACCCTCCACGTCAAAAGGCACGGGGCGGGCCAGGTTTCCAGTGGAGGGAGGTTGCCTAACGGGCTCCCGTAAACCACCAGGCTCTCTATGAACACATTTGCCAACTCGTCCAGCAGGCGTGCCTCGCTGCGGCGGGCCCCACCCTCTGTAAAGCAGCGCATGACAGCACGAGAAAAGAGATCTGGCCTCGAGCTGCAAGCCTGCGATGCAAGGTGCAGGCTCTTGTCCCAGATAACAGCAGACTCCAGCTCCTGTTGCTTCACAAGGGCATGGGTCAGCCTCCGATTGCTAGTCTCAGCAGCGTGCTGTAGCTGGTGAGCCGCGCTCTGATCGCTGGGAGCGGCATCCTCTGCAGGCGTTGTGCGCTGCAAAGCACTCACCAGCTTCCGCTTCCGAGGCTTGATGGAACAACCAGCTGTGTCCTCTGGCCGGGCTGCAAAGTATAGCTCCCCACCGTAAACGAGACACCGTTGCAAACCAGGTCCAATGAACGCTTTGGGCAGAGTGGCCATCAGTCAGGAGAGACTGCCCAGAAAAGCAAGTGTCTGGTGAACGGTTGCTGCAGTGCCGCTGTTGTGGGAAGGTGAAGACATTGGAGTGGGAACCGGAACATGGAGTGAGCTCCTGGACTGCTTCTACGACAAGGAACTTGGCCATGGGGTCTGTTAAAATGGCGCCCTGTGGCGTGTGAGACAAGGAGCACGACATATTGCCGTAGAAACAGCAACATAGGCTTCTGCTCATGCTTAGCGCGAAGGAGCCTGAAAGTGAGCCGTCCGTCACACTCAAACACACCGTCGATCACCGGAAGGGCAAGCCGTCAACACATGTAAACACCCGTCACCTCCATGAACCATCCGTCACCTCCATGAACCTGAAGGAGCCGTCGATCTCAAATGGTTACCTGTGAGTAGACCGTCGATCTCAACTGATTACTTGTGAGTTGACCGTCGATCTCCTCATCGCACAAGCGGACGTCGCGAGCGCCTATGTGGGCCCCCTCGCGCGCTCGCGCGTGCATCAAAGGGGTGGGAGGGCCGCAAGATGGGAGGCCCCAGGCACCCCCGGCACCCCCAGGCACCCCCAGCACCCCTGGCACCCCCGGCACCCCCGGCACCCCT